AAATTTCATGTCATTAGCACCTCTAGTAATATATTTACTGAGAAAAATGGTGACGTGTTCAATACTTACTTTACCCACTGTATATGAAGTTTTTATAACAACTGAAGGTAACTTTACTGGGGTACAGAATTGAACTGTGAGCCTGGAAAATACATAATACCCTGCACCCCTTTAAACTGGGAAAAAAGTAAAGGGCAAAAGARGAAGTGTCAGGCTTACAAAAAATGAACAACAAATGAACAGAATCTGAAAGTACTACCTTAAGAAATTTTAAAAAATGCCTCATTGACCTAAGAGATGCATTACTTTTCAGTTCATCAAGATTTCAGCATATTGTAAAAACTTTAAAGCCATCCTGACTAACTCTTGATACATGTGAGAATAACAAAAACAGCACAGTTTAGCTTAGTTCAAACTTGAAGTAAAAATTGCTTCAAAGAGTTGAATGTCCAATCAAAAGAGATCATTCCTGTTGAGTTGTGTAACAGAGCTGCTCTCATCTGGACCAGATGATCCATTCACTTAGGCATCCACCTCTGCTTCACACAAACACATTTAGATCCAGTCCACTTTGTTTAGCTTTGCAACAAAATAATTGTATTTTGGTTGTCATCAGTAGGATGTAAACGACGAAAGAAAACCAAAGAAACTTTCAATCAATCGCCTTTATCTCCTCATAATAATATACCTCACTTTTTCAAATTAAAATATTTTTATCATTAGTTTTTTATTGTTTATTCTTCATTTATCCTTCTGCTCATTTGTCTTCCATATCCCCTACCCAGAAAAAAGAAAGAAAACGTGATTGTTTCTTTGCCAACACATTACAAAACACCTTCAGATGACTCATCCTTACCCTGCCTGCATTAACTCTCCATCCGTTTTCATCTTCATGACGTCTCTTTTTCTTTTTAACAACGGCTCCTTCATTAGCAAAGCCTCTCTGGGAGAAAATGAGGAGACTGGGGACATTCAGGCAGAGTTAAACCACCTGCTAACCTGCGAGGCATCTTGTGGAGAGCTGCAGTCTGTTATAATCATCTCCAGAGATAGATGAGGGGGGGAACACGAGGGTTCGAACATGATGTGCTGCGTGTTAMTGACAAATAATCAGCTTCAAAGAAGAGTTGGCGCCAATTGCAAAGCAAAGAAAATGTTTGGAAATAGAAATGAAAAGTTTTTATTAGCAATCAATCTTGTTTTTATACAAGATGACATTACAGCTGATTTGATTTTTCTATTATTTGCAGTTGTGGTGGTGTTAAAATTTATGCATTACTTTAGTTCATTTTAGCTGCTTAAATGTACTGTTTGAATGAAACTAACTTGACAAGAGTACAGAGACTTGGAAGAAAAAAAGCTTTGTAATATCAAACGATATCACTACAACATATAGGGGCATAAAATCTGTAAAACATTTAATCTTATTATACTGCAAAACATGAGTCAAATAAAAATAARTATGATCTCTGACCTAAGAAAGTTCAGTGTCCACATTAAGAAAGGACAGCATGTTACCTGCACAGACAGCTTTACGGACATTAGCGGTCCAGTTCCCAGAGCTCAGGCACACTGCCCTCCTGTTTCCCTGGAGACTGTAACCTTGGCGACACGTGAGGTGGCAGACGAAGCCCAGGGACACGGCTCTCTTCCCGCAGGCAGGGGGCGACAGCAACATGTTCTTTAGGTTCACGATGGGGGGACACCTCACCTCTGGGGAAACAAAACAAGAAAAACATTAATAGATTATTTGCCCGTACAAACTCTTGTTCGGGCACCAGTGTCGAGTGGACATAGTCATGTGACTCCGTCCGTCCGTACGTCTGTTTTCTTCCTCTTATCCGGGGTCGGGTCACGGGAGCAGCAGCCTTAAAGGGCCAATATTATGTGTTTCTCAGGCATACATTTAAATACTACACCATAATAAAGTACCTATGTCACCTTTAGTTGTTATTAAAATGCTGTTTTTTGTTTAAATAGAAAATARACTTRTCTTCTCATCACTTCCCCTTCCAAACGCCTTGAAATTTGCCTCTGTCTCTTTAAGAACCTCCTTCTGCCTTTTTGTCCAATTCAGTGCGTGAGGGGTGCGGGGTGGGGGGGATGCTATGAAGTTTACTTGGCATCTGAAAATACATTTCCTCAAATGTACTTTTAATCTGAAAAGAGCTTCACTGAGTGAGAACTAATGTTGAGAGCTCAGCAAACAGTTAAGTTTCGTTTCACTTTCAGTTTGTCACCCGAGAGCCTGCAGGAGTCATGGGCGGGGTGTGTGGGGGGGGGGGTGTGCTCTGCCATGAGGAAGTTCGGCTTAAAGACACGTCCCAGGGGCGTTTCTGGTACCAAAAGGCGCTTCTGGTCCCCACCTGTCATTTTGCTGCTCAACATGGCTTCCTAAAAATGTTGCAGGATTTCTCAAACATGCATGAATGAGTCAGAGCAAGGCTTTGGACATGTTTTTTCATGAGAGTATAACATTATAACATGATATAAAACTCAAAAAAGTTGATTTTACATGATATTGCCCCTTTAAGGCAGCGTCACACTACAAGATAATCATGCCGATTTTTGCCTTTCCGACAATCTTAAGGAAGTCCAAATTATCGTGATGGGTCTAAAGATAATCATAGTAGATATTCCCGACTTGAGTGGTGAGTTAAGAGTGATCTAGTCGGCTCGGAAGCACGTCGGGACAGCTCCGACCTCAAATCGGGGAAATTCAACATGTTTGATTTTTTGGCCCAATATCACAGTGTGTGTAGTGTTCACCCAAGCTCTCAGCCTGTGAATGAAACGTGTAGCCAATCAGAAAGCAAGGCGGCATAAACACGGAGGGGATTTCAAAATACAGAAGACAAAATCTGTCATAACTCACCAGAAAGTCTGCTGGATGTTAAAAGTTCTATGGAATTATTTTTCCTCTGATAAAAACTAGTCCACAAATGTGTGTATGTTCAATGATTACTTCTGGAGAACTGTATTAGAACATCCAGTGGGCACTGGCTACAGGACTGTCTAATGGGGGCTTTGAACATTTTAAAGGAGAAGTGAGCTAGTATGACTTAATAACTTCTGTATTTATGTTTCAATGGCACAAGTTGTAGGATTAACTGGGAAAACGTCTTCATAAAAAAAATCAGTACACGTTTCAATTGGATAAAAATATCTCTGCATCTTCTAAGGCAAAATGAAGAGTTTCTATTTCACCACAGCACAAACAAACACTAAAACAACGTAACGACAGCCCGCAGAGCCCTTGTTGAAGAAGTAATGACAGTTTGCTGGGTAAAAGACTGAAACAAACAAGCTACATTCAGCTCCGTTTGTGCAGAAAATCAGAGATGGTGTACACTGATAAGCAGGAAAGGCTTTTGGGAGCAGTTTTTAAATAGCACACCGAGCTGTTTGGTTGGCAGTGAGTAAGTGCAAGCCGGAGCGGTGAGGTTGGAGGTTTGTGGTGAAACACTCTCGCACTGCCTCTTTTTTGTGTGTTTGTCCTGAGTGCTCTTTGTGGTGGGCATGAGTGTGTGTGCAACTATTTTAACTTAACTATCAGTTTTGAGGCCTGTAAGTAATTTTGAATGCTGCGTATGTGAGCTGGCTTTAACTTGGCTATGAGAAAGCAGACGTGCATCTTTCACTGAATATGGGCACAAATTCACACCATACGTTTAACCGTTGTACACGTGTGTTTACGCTGGCAACTATAACCACATGTTTACTGTAAAAACACACAGATCAAGACTTATTTTAGGGTATTTTTGTTTTGGGAGGCAGATAAGTTTTACTAAACAGAAACAAAAGAAAAAATTGGAGCGTTTAACTATGTACAGTCATATTCTAAGAATAATCTTGTGATGGCAAAATCTGTTGTGTATGTAAACTAAACTCTGGGCTGCAAATTCAATAACTAAAGATAATTTAATTTACCTCCACAAACAAATAACCCCCAAAACTTTAAATTAAGAAATAAAAAACAAGGTAGCAGTAGACATACAGCGCTGCAAATGAATTCTGTCAGACATGAAACAAAGAAAGAATGGATGTGTAATATAAAGATATTACAAAAAACAGATGCTTCTACCTACACCTCTTTCACTCTACACCTTCTGTTATTGCCACCAACAGGGATTCAAAGATTTTTGATCATTTATTTTCTGTATTAATTCAGTCTTGTTTTCAGTGTTTTTTCTGTTTTGACTTGAATGGAAAGGTTAAATAAATGACCAAAATAAAACTCAAACTCTAAAACTGACACAAACACATATTAACTACATCTTATTTACTTATCTAATAATTATTGTCCATATTTAAAAAAAATGTAAGTGTGTCTCCTCCTTAAATAAAATATTAGAATTTGATATAGTTCAGAGGGGAAACTACGTAAAGATGTACTGTATATTTTCAGGCCTCCTCATAGATCCCATGTTAGGATTTTTTTCAAAACAACCCTTAGGTTTTCTTGACAACAAGGTTTGGATTATTATATTGTTCAAATCTAAACTTCTGCCGAGCTTCATCCTGCCCCCTGGCATGTTAACCCTGGGGTCTGGGGTCTAAATGGCCATTTTGGCCAATTTTGAATTTACCCTTATATTTTCAGCTTAAAAACTATTTACCTTGCCTTGTTTGGTATTTTCAGCACAACCAAAATGTTGACTATGCTCTAAAACACTCTCACGTTTTCCACAAGCATACAGACAAACTTTTTTTATTGGTTGCTTTGGAAATGTGGTGCATYTCATGAAATCAGAAAAATAGGTGTAATGTTGCATTCAATCACTTCCTGGTCACAAAATGTTCACTGAATGCACAGCAAATGCATAAAAAATGCTCACAAAATTATGGTGAAAATGGTTTATCATAAATATGGTTTTATTTGGAAGTAAATGAAAAACAAAAACAATATAAAAACACTATTTTTATAGAGTTGGAAAGTCTGTGCTGTCCAACCCAGTTGAAATGAGCACTCAACATGCTGCCATTTTTGTCACATTAGCCCTTAAATGTGTCATGTCGATGCCTGCTCTGGAGCGGGCTTGGACCTTAGAGCAAGGCTATTCAACTGGCGGCCCGCGGGCCACATCCGGCTCGCGAGTGACCAAAGTTTGGCTCGCCAATTGGTTCATTCATCTC